GGGGGGGGGGGGGGGGGGGGGGGGGGGTGTACTCATAGTCGTGCATGCCGTAGTCGTTTGACCATTGACCTCGCATCCCTACAAAGCCGGGACGGAGCACGCCGGGTTCTCACCGGACCAGGCTCTCACATCACCAAGCGCGAAGCGCCGTGAGGTATTTGGCGAGTCGCATGAAGGGTGAGCTGCATCCTGCTAAGGGTGTTCGGCATCTTGTGCTTACTTCCTTGCGTACGGATGACAGCTACGTATGACTTAATTTATTTTCTGGTGCCTTCACTTCCAGAGACAGTTGTAAGCACTGTTTAACTGCCTCGAGGAAGCTTGACCACTATTAACACAACGTGGTGTGATCATCCCCCGTTGCGCGGAGTGAGGTTTCTCGACCCCGCACAACATGATCTACTCGACCACCATTATGGTTACCGCCAAAAAAAAAAACGAGGTAAAAAAAAAACAAACGTTAACCTGGTTGCCGAGTTCACGAAGTGAATTGGCCTGTTTTACAACGTCGTTGCCAAGCGACGAAAACCCAATCCCGATGGCAAACACCGAGTGGGGGGCTTGTTTTACAACGTCGTTGCCAAGCGACGAAAACCCAAACCCCGATGGCAAACACCGGGGGGGGCGGAAGGGCGGGGGGGGGTGTTGTTGATTGAGCGAAATCAACACGAAAATGGAACACCACCACCGTAAGATTCACTCGCGACGAGAAAACAAGAAGAACAACAACGGAAAACAAACCAAGAAAGAAGCACAGCAGCTAAGCACAAGAGAGCAGCCCAACGACAGTGAAGAAAGACATTCGACGACAGAAGAGGAGCAGCCCTACGACTGCTAAACGAACAACATATTCGGCGACGATCGAGCGGCACCCCTCTTTTCCGAGAGCAGAAAATAACGAAAAACGCCTTGACTTGGCGGACGTCAGCCGGTTCGTCGGTCCATCATAGGCCTGGCGTGCTGAGTTGGCGGCATGCTTTGCGTGCCTTCCTGTATCTGACAAAGAGCATAAGGGGGTCGTGCGCTCACCTGGTACCACAGGGGCCATGTGCTGACTGGAAGGGGCCGACACCACGGGTTGCGTGGAAGGGGCTGAGAGGAGCGGGCGGGGAGTTCCGTTGCCAACGGGGGGGGGGGGGGGGGGGGGGATTAGGGGG